ATGGCTGGTTTGCCCTGTCCGTAATTCCGGAGTTGTGCGTTGCATTGGTATGATCTGTACTGGGCAGTGGCTCAGCTTCAACGCTTAAAACAGTCGAATTATCCAATCTTAGCTATTGTGTGTTAGTATACCTCCCTACGCCCGTGATGTTGTACAGTCTTGCGTGCCTTGCTATCGTGGACTGCCTCAGCACGGGACGATTTGCAGTGGCGAAGCAATTCCCCTAGCGATGAAAAGATGCCGGAGGTGCTTTTCTGTTTGCGTGTTTGGACGATGTGCGTTGAGCCGGGTTCTGTGTCTATCTTTGTCGCCATTCTTAATGACGAAGGGCGACCCAAAAGAACTCGTGATGATTCAGCAAGTGTGGCCTTCGCTCAAACGGTGTTACAGTTTTCGGACACCCGTTTTTGTTAATCTCTCGTGAGTACAGTACACGGTCAGCCGCTTGAGCTATATGCTGAAGCTCGACGTCGTGCACCCTGCAGTCGGTGACAATAATTTTGAAACTAGGACATTTACGCTCATTAAATTGAAAAGAGACGTCTCCTGTTACTTCATGGCAGCCCTGACTGGACAGCCTTACAGCCACATACGTTTTTCATCCTGGGTTATCACTTCTTATGAATGATGGACATCCACCCACTTACGATTCTATTAGAAGTCTATTAATGTGGTCATAGAGAATTAGATCTTAGTCAAATTTCGTACTTGAAGGGTGCGTCTTCGTTGAAATATTTTTTGCTGATCTTTATCATTTTTGAAGCATGACCTGCGTTTTTACTTCGTTTTAGTTTTTAAAAATCTAGATGCTTTGTATTATTCGAAGGCAGATTCCCCTATTGGTGCTTGTAGAATATCGCAGTAGAAACAGATCATATTACAACCAACAGTCTTGTTTGATCTGGTATCATCGTGTACCTGATGACCACGTACTTGTAGATAAATACTCCCTTAGCCCGAGGACCTGAAGCACATGTGGTCCAAGGGATTTTGAGTTTGCATATATTCTGTTAAACGGAACGATATTTATGCTGACATTGAAAACCAATTTGAACATACTCACCAATTAAATGCCGGCGTTTAACGAGTGAGTCTTGCAAGGATGACTGGACAGGTGGCCATTCAAAAGGGGAGTATGCTGCCAGGTGTGTACTGACTTGCATTCTGTGCCCATCAGTTTTTCTTTAAGATCCCATTTAAGTAGCCTTTTCCATGTGGAATGCTTTCGTCTATTTTTGACCAATCTTTACTACATTATCTTAAAATGTAGCGGTCACCGGGTAGGCGTCAAC